CAAAAAAAAAAAAAAAGAAAGAAACCACTAGGCCGAGCAGGACAGAGGCCCTCTTTATGTGACTCCTTGTTTCTCTCTAGCCCCAATGACTCCAGTTTGCCTCCAGCCTAAAGACCGGCCTCGCTGCTCTTCCTCTGATGTCATCCTTCTCTTGGACACCACACTGTTCTTTGTCTTTGAAGATTCTTCCAGCCCTGAAGGTCAAAGCAGGTCTTCATCCCTCCTCCTCCAGAGGGATAAATGCGAGGCCCAGCCACGCCAAGCTGGGACTGCTCACAAAGGGAGTTTCAGGGGCAGACTCACTGGACAGTATTCAGGTCCCACCATGGCATAAACAGTGCACGTGGACAGCTACAGAGGCTTCGAGACTTTGCAAGGAGAGGGGAACAGCCTGAATAATTGTTATTTGTTTTTGTTCTGAGTTGGTATCTTACTCTGTCACCCAGACTGGAGTGCAGTGACACGATCATGGCTCACTCCCGCTTCGACCTCCTGGACTTCAGTGATCCTTCTGCCTCAGCCTCCTGGGTAGCTGGGACTACAGGTGCACACCACTGCGCCTGACTAACTTTTTTCATTTTTTTTTTTGTAGAGACAAGGTCTCACTATGTTGCCCGGGCTTGTCTTGAACTCCTGGGCTGAAGTAGTCCTCCCACCTTGGCCTCCCAAAGTTCTGGGATTACAGGCATGAGCCACCTTGCACAGTTTCTTATTTTAGATAGAATAGGACAAACACTGTCGGAGAAAACCTAGAAGCTATGGGTTTTAGAAAAGAGAACCCAGTTTTGGCTACAGGGTCCAAACTGAGAAGTTTGGATGGGTGGGTTCCTGGCCGAGAGGGGTGTGGTGGGGAGGGCTCTCCAGCAGTTCCAGCTCTGGACAAGTCACTGGGATTGAGTTTTTTGTTGTGATAAAGGGTCCTGGCCCACAAGTTTATGATGGCTTCCTATGGCGAGTGTGGAAACTTCCCTTTTTTAAAAATTGGGTCCCAGCCCTACAAGGGTAAAAAAATCACCTACACACAAATAAAAAGTAACTTAATGATGGGTTTGGTTTAACCTATTCTTTAAGTTAAGAGCACAGACCATAAACCTGCAATGTATACAACAGTACTTGTAAAACACATACTGCTCTGGTCTGGGTCATTGAGAATATCCAAAAAAGAAGACAACAGGAATAGTCATTACTGGCTGCCAGGGCTAGCTGGTATCACTTTCTCGTGAAACTCAGATTGAGTCAGGCACGGTGGCTGCTCCTGTAATCCCAGCACTTTGGGAGGTGCAAGCAAGAGAATTGCCTGAACTCAGGGGTTTGAGACCAGCCTGGGCAACTTGGTGAGACCTCGTCTCTACAATAAATCAAACAATTAGCCAGATGTGGTGGCGTGCATAGTTCCAGCTACTTGGAAGGCTGAAGCAGAAGGATCGTCTGAGTCCAGCAGGTCGAGGCTGCGGTAGCCATGAACATGCCACTGCACTTCAGCCTTGGGTGATGGAGTGAGACTCCGACTCAAGAAATTCAGATTGATTTGTCAGCAGCTAATCATTAATTGCAGCTCTTCAGAATCAAAAAGTAGTGGAGAGAAGTCAGGATGTGTACGTAGCCTCTTAAATGTTGAAAGGGGCTTTTTTCAACTAATTCCTTAAAATGTGAATTAGGTATTATTATCCTCTCATTTCAGGGATGGGAAAACTGAGGGTCAAAACTGGCCCAAGGTCCAGGCGTAGCTTATGCCTTTTTACTCAGTGGTTTTGAACCTGAGCCCTCCTATCCAGCAGGCTACCTTGAACTTTGCTGACTGTGCCAATTCCATTACAAAGGCCACAGCCCCTTTTCACTTTGTCGGTATAAACATTTTTTTTTCTTTTGAGTAGGAGTCTCACTCTGTCACCCAGGCTGGAAGGTAGTGGCACGCTCCCGGCCTCCACAGCCTCGACCTGCTAGGTTCAGGCGATCCTTCTGCCTCAGCCTTCCAAGTAACTAGATCTATAGGCACACGCCACCATGCCTGGCTAATTTTTGATTTATTGTAGAGGTGAGGTCTCACCAAGTTGCCCAAGCTGATCTTGAACCTGTGGGCTCAGGCAGTCCTCTCACCTGGGCCTCCCAAAGTGCTGGGATTATAGGCGTGAGCCATTGAGCCAGCCTGTCAGTATAAACATTTTAACTGCATCCTCCACCCGTCCCTGCCCTGAGAGATTGAGAACTGTCCCAGAGTTAGGTTCCCTGGGAAGTGAACTCTGAGATTGCATTGAGTATGCAGGAGGTTTACCAGAGGCCCTTTGGATCAACACCTGGAAGGGAGGTCAAGGAAGCAGGATTAGATGGAGGCTGAAATGGAGTTGTGATGCAGGCTGTGATGAACCAGGCACTCTGGGGCTGACATGGTGCGTCAGACTTGTCCCAGATTGGGCCCAGGTGGCCCAGCCTCTCCACCCTTGCCTGATGGGTCATGGGATGTGGGTGCCCTGGGAAGGGTGTGACATTGAGTGAGGCGTCTCTCAGCAGCTGGAGGCTGGCTGCCCACAAGTCCCCAGGAGATGTTCCAAGTACTTTGAAGGGGATCTGTGTAGCACATGTCCACATGCATGACCTTAGCTTGTGGGGAAATGCTTTCTCTCATTCATCACTTATATGTTCCTGTTAGTTTCATAATAGGCTCTCAGTAAAGGAGAGTTGAATGAATACATGAAGGACTGTCTAAGAAGATGTATTCAATAACTGAGAACGTGTAGGTTAAAGTATTTCTCTTCCCTGGGTCTGTAACCAAGATTCTTGAGAATTATGCAATCTTCTTACCAGATATTCCTGGCTTTTTGTTTTTTGGGGTTTTTTGGGTTCCTGTCACCCAGGCTGGAGTGCAGTGACATGGTCATAGTTTGCTGCAGCCTCACCTTTCTGGACTCAGTTGATCCTTCTGCCTCAACCTCCTGAGTAGCTAGGACTCTAGGAACATGCCACCACACCTGGCTAATTTCTATTTTTTATAGCATCGAGGTCTTGCAATGTTGCCTAGGCTGGTCTCCTGGGTTCAAGCGATCCTCCCACCTTGGCCTCCCAAAGAGCTGGGATTACAGGTGTGAGCCACTGCATCTGACCAGGATAGTCCTGGTTTGTGGTTGTGGCCCAGCCGCATTGTTAATAGCGCATTCTTACCTGCTGAACAGATGGATCTTCTCACGACTGAATCCTCAAATATTTTCTTGTACCCACCTTCTACTCTTTATCATGAAGTGAAGACTTTATTTTTAATGTCAAAATCAGTTCCACTGTTGTACTTTGAGCTCATCTCTGTTGTGTTCTGAAGGACCTTGGTTTATAGTTAATTTTTCTCCTAAATTATTTCCTTACAAACATGTCTTACAATCCTGTCTTCAAGACAAAACAAAACAAACCACTGCTCTGATGCATTTCTCTGCTCACTTTCATGGCCAAAATTCTTGAAAGTGTCTGTGTGCAGATTCCAATTTGTCAACCCCCATTTATTCTTCAGCACAGTATCATTTGGTGTCTACCCTACGTTACTTTTTAAGGCCACCAACAGCTTTGTTGTTGCCAAGTTCTATGATACTTTTCTGTCCTTATCTTATTTAACCTCCAAGAGTTTCAACATAACCAGCCATTCTCTTCTTCTTGAAGCCCTCCTGGATTCCAAGATATGGCTGTCCCAGATTTCCCCAGCACCTCACTGCCTGCTCTCCCAGTCTGCTTTGCCGGCTTCTCTGTTTGACCTGTGTTTTTTTTTTTTTTTTTCAACAATTTTTTAACATTTTTTTGAGTCGGAGTCTCACTCAGCCCAGGCTGGAGTGCAGTGGCATGCTCATGACTCACCACAGCCGCAAATTCCTGAGCTCAGTCAGTCCTCCCGCCTTAGCCTCTCAAGTAGCTAGGACCACAAATACATACCACCATGCATGACTAATTATTTTATTTTTTATAGAGATGAGGTCTCACTGTGTTTCCCAAGGCTGGTCTCGAACTCCTGGACTCAAGCAATCTGCCCTCCTTGGCCTCCCAAAGTCCTGGGATTATAGGCATGTGCCACTGCACCTGACCTTTTTTCAAACTTTTTTTTTTTTTTTAAAGATAATGGGGCCTCCTATGTTGCCCAGACTGGCCTTGAACTCCTGGGCTCAAGCAGTCCTGCTTCAGCCTCC